TCCAGTGCTGTGTTTTATCACAGATATTTTCAGAAGCTTTCATTTGGAAAGGGTGGCTCCATGGCAAACAGGTTGTAGAAATATATTCTTAAATGCTAAATGTCACCCAATCTTGACAACACAGCAAGGGCTTCGTGTAATAATTTTGACATGTTAATTCTATGTTAGGTTAAGGTAACTTTTGGTGCCTTATTAGAAATATGAAATCCTGGATCCATGGTTCCAGTTGGGCATAAAGTTGTTTTCAAATTGTATGCATTTGGAATGTTGTATTAAAAAGGCGTGTATAGCATAATTCTAGCTCCGTTGGGTTACTACATTAACAGCTACTACCTTTTTCCCATCTCCCCAATCTTTGCCGCCATGCTAGCTTCACCTCTCTCTATGAATCATACAGAGCGGCGATGTTGTTCTCCTGAGGGAGCCAGATTCCCCACAGGGTTGAGTCTGTCGCCTTCTTATAAGCTACAAGCACTCAAGAGTAAGAACAACGCCCTTATGTGTGCACTTCCGTTGTCACCTCTAAACTTCACTGTGTTCCTCATTCACCTTCTTCCTGGTTCTAAGCTTGTGTCCTCGTGGTGATGGAGCAGAAGCCCCCAAAAAGCAGCGGCCTGGGCCTCTCAGCTCAGTGCTATTAACCCCTGAGCTGGACAGCATTCCCTCCACCAGAGGCTGGTCTCTAGGGGGACACTGAAAGCAGTGATGACTGGAGCTGCAGCTCCTCTGAACCCTGTGTTCTCCGGCCGTAGTGTTCACACTGCCTGCTAGTAGGGAGATGGGAAGGACTGGAGACAGGGAAGGGAACTGCTTATGCAAGACCACACTATTGTCCACAGCCTTCCTCCAAGCATACAGCTTACCACAAAGCCAGCAATTAGTTAAAAATTCTATGTTTCAATTAAGCTTAATTCCTATTTTTGAGTCCATCTGCAGACTGCCATCTGACAAGGCCAAAATGTCTTGCTTTTGTTTCTCCTTTCCTCACAAAACACATATACTTAATGAGCTGCTACCAACAAAGTTTCAGTGACTCCTTCACACTTACGGGCCACAAGTTTGGGAATGTTTTGTGGACTACTGATTCAGTTCAGACACTGGGCCAGCAGAGCAGAACAGTAAGCAGCGGTCTTGTCTCCAGTGGGCAGTGAGCAGATGTCAAAGAAGGATCTGCTTAGAGTATATCCTCTAACTTTGCAAAGATGACACTGGATTCCCCCCTCCAAAAAAAAATCCCCCAAATACCAAGGTAATTTGTAAAAGGGCTGTATTTCTGCACACACATATTTTGGCAGGGCTTAAGAAAATGAAATAAGTATGAAAGCAGGCACCAAGTCCACCAAATTTCAAGTCAGCTTGAGCTCCAACACCTCATAACCAAAAATCATCTGTGTACCCTAGAGCTTGTTGAGCTGGGCAAACTCAATTGTGTGTCATGTGTCCCTCAACCACTGAAGAAGATGGCTCGAGGGGATTCCCTGTTGGTGCAGACTTTCAATGCTAACAAATGCGGCTGCTTTTGAAGGCAGGTAACCACACAGATTTTATTTGCTGTGGAGTTTTCAGCATACCTAATGCTATTTTTATTCTGTTTTAACTAAGACCGTGTTTTCTCTGAAACTTGGTCCTGTGACTACGGTTTTTTTCCAGCTATAGTACCTTTTGATGGCATCATCCTGGCATTCTCGTTTAAAACAATCTACTGTAGGGTTCTGAAAATCCTCTTCCCACTTGCTCTGCTGCAGTCTCTTGCCTGCGTCCTAGACTTTCCCTGAGGTCAGGGATCATCTCTGAAAAGCATAGCAGCCTTCCGTGACCTGGAGCACCACCCCTGGGCTTTTTGAGCATCCCTCTCAGTGCTGGTTTAAAGATACAAAAATACCCTAATCCTCGTCAAGTTAGAGAGGCTTGCAAAATATACCCACTCCATCTTGTGCTGGGTTGAGAGGTGTATACATGACTTCAGAAGGAACTCAATTGTCTAGCTTCCAAAAGATGGGCTATGACTTGGCTATGAATTAAAGTAGGTAGCAAGTCAGTGTCTGATAGAGCGTCCTTAGGGAAGCTTCGGGATTCTTGGGTTTGAGCATATTGTTGCTCACTGTTCTGGTTTTCATCAACACCTGCCAGCCAACCACTTCTGTCCCAATGAAGTTCCATCTGAAACACTGTGCACACCCCTTAATTAATTGCATGAGCGAGTGGATAAATTTTAAGTTTCTCTAGTGATTTCCCCAGCATTTCTAATATATTAATTGCCAACTGGTGGGATTAAAGAATGATTACTGATTATTCCCAAATCACCAGGATTACAATGACCTTGGAATTCATTACAAACTTGAAGAAAGCCAAGAAAAAAAAAAAGACATACTCTGTGGATTTAATAATACCATCTACAGGCTAATTTCTAAGATATACCAATCATAAAAATGTTCCTCGCGAGGACCCAAGACGCATGTGTCTTGTAGGCAAAACCTAGGTTTTGACTATTCCTAGCTAACAAGTTACAGGAGCCATCAATGGAAGTCTGCATGTCATGATCTAGTGTGACTATCACTGAAACGCACAGAAGGATGGAGGTGCTGGCGATGTGCAAGGAGTCCTTAGCATGCGCATGTCACGTTCCCGTTTCCTCTTCATGATGCCCCCTATTTATGTAACATCCCTGTGCATATTGTAAAGCCTTAGCCAGAGAGTTTTACAACCTCAGCTAATAAATGTACTGAATACAATTTTTTTTTTTTTAGAGAAGGGTCTAACTTTTCAGTTAAAAAAAAAAAATTCAAACCATAATGAGTATTGATTAACCATGAGAGCATAAAAGTAAACATGGAAACAATTCCTAAGTCTAAGACCCAGTTTAACAATGTGCTAATAGCCCATAATGAAGACAGCAGCCATAAGTTAATCAACCCATTAGGTTGAGATCAGAAGTGTCAACTCAAGTAGTGTACTAATTTACTGACCCTTAATGGGTCAGCAAGATCTATAACCCCAACGCTGATCTTTTTGCCTCTACTAACCTCACTTTAGAAGCCAAAGCACTCCCTCCCAGGATGATGATCTCTGACCCAGTATGGGCAGGAAGTCAACATAAAATCCATTTATGAGAATGAGTTCAGGGCTACTGAGTAATGGAATCTCAAGCTAACTAGTGTGTGAAGCAGCGTCTGGGAGAGGCTCCTTAGGAAGCACCAGCTTTGCTTTCCTTATGTCCACACAACCGTGAAAAATAAACCAAGCTACTGTCTCCAGCAAGTCCTAGGCTAAGTTAGCTAAGGCTTCTTATCCAGACCAGTCCCTGTCCCTCTCTGAGAAAGTCAGTCTTAGTTTTCGAAACATCCATTGGTTACAAAAGGACTGAGGAGCGGCGCATTAAGGTGAAGAGCTGTGCCTTCATTGAGGTGAATCATTGAGGTGAATCTTGTTTTGTCAAAGGGTTATTGAGTTGGCCAGAAGCTTGTGTGGCTTGTTGTTGCTTTGCTCAACCTTTATCTGGTTTTTTTGCATGTTAATTTCTTAAATGAGTATCAATCAGCAATTTTTGCCACTTTCAAGAGAAAGGAAGTGGAAAAAATAAGACTATGTCTCATTCCAGATGAGGAATAATAATCAAGGCATATAATAAAAATTATGACTACAGACTTTATGGCCTGGAAGAATAGTGTAGAGATGGAGCACTTCTCTACCACACACAAGGCCCCGGGTTCAATTCCCCAGCAAAAATTAATGATTCACTCCATTGGATGATATTTGTAAGAAGCAATTATTATCCACGCAATTGCTAGGATAATACAAGACTGTTGTAATGTCATCCGCGTTTTCTTTCTAGATGATAAAGCAATCCACTGTACTATGCGGTGTCTGTTGCCAACCTGTGAGCAGGGTGATGTCAGAGACTGAAAATGAGGTATCTGAGAAAACAGCTGCCCTGCTCTGCCCAGCAGATACTCTCTGCTGTGATTTCCCCCAAACAGGACAAAGATAGGAACGATAGTAACGAAGGTCTAGAAAAGGCCAAACAGGAGAAAAAGCAAACAACTGGACGCACTGAACATTAAAGGGGAGGAGGGGTCTGTGACCAAGAAAATTGAGATCCCCTTGAAGGACGCAAGGATTGCTTTTTCTCTCTAAACAGGAGATATGTCAGTTCCATGCACATGAAGCATGACGGATTCCTTAAGGAAAACCCTCTTTTCTGAGAACACAGAGAGCCCCTCCGTTCTAGGTGACACTGCCCTGCACGTTCCCCTACGTGTCGCCTTTGTTTTCCTGTCTTCTAAAAGGGCTGTACCAACCTCTTCACAAAGACACTAGCCTAGGAGCCTGAGCGGGAGCAAGAGTTCTGTCCCGTGGGGAAAAGTGAGCCCCGGGGCCACAAAGGCGAGGGTGCGGAGCCGAGCCTCGGCTGGCCAGCAGGAGGTGACTCCTCGTACCCACTCCTGCCCGAGGCTGGCGTGGGGCGCGCGGGGGAGGGCGAGGGGAGCCGGGAGCAGCGAAGGCGGGATGCGGGGATGCGGGCCGGGGGCGCG